AAAAAAAAACAATCACATAACAATGATGATGCCAAAAAGATAAGCGATTATAAATTGCAACTTAGCACATTTCATCCATAGTCACTATTTTATAAAAAAAAGTATAAAAAATGTAGAGAAATGCAACTGTTCCAGGTCACTATTTGTCACTACTTATTGAAACATGGGATAATAAAAATGTTTTAAAAATCATCAAATCACACTTTTACTTGATGCCCTTCAATAATTCAATATATATATATATATATATATATATATATATATATATATATATTTGTAGTTGTTTACCTCTCATAACATGTCGGATGGTTTTAACTGAAGCACCTCGCTGGCTTAAAATTTGCATTACTCGTGCTTTAATTGAAGAAGCAGCTGAGGAGCACACCTCTAAAATTATATAATCAACTAACTGTAAAGTAAATAATCCACCCGACAACCTCTGCATATATATTGCATCATCATCCTCATCTGTTGCAGCTGTCTGAAATTGTAATTAAAATGTAAATTGAATTGTGTAAAATGAATAATTATTCTAAAATATTTCATGATTACCTTTTTTTGTTCAATCGTTGCATCAATTTCTTCAACTTTATCGAGATATTTAAAATGTAACTCCAGTAATCTGTCTACCTGTTAAAGATGTGTTATAATATAAGTTTCTAAAAAAAAAATATTTATTAATAACTTTAAAGTATTCCTACTTTTTCATGATCATTTTCTGTGAATTTAGAAAGTAATCTTTGTCTCTGTGATCCTCTGCAATTCCTCAACATACTGGATATAATTGATACAACATGCTCTAGAAAAATAAACTTAATTTAATTTTGAAAAACTCAATATATTATTTTTTAAATTGAACAGTAATTAACCTTCATGCTCATTAGCTGTGAGTAATCGCTTCTTTTGCTTGGGAGTTTTCATGAATAATGGAAATATAGATCTGAGCCCCAAAATATCAACAAATTTTGAACAATTGTCTTTTCCATCAATGCCGGACATAGCATGATCTAGTACTTTCAAGGAACCACTTCTAGATAATTTTTTCTCCCTGAAATTAATTCATAAATAAATTCTATTTTTAGATAATATGAAAATGATTTTTATGAATCAGTTAATGATAAAAAGGAAAATACTTTTAAAGGAATCTATTAGTATTTGATATCAATGATGAAATAATTGATATTGAATATTAAACAACAATTATTCGTCAACACAATATATAAATGGCATTTAAACTTTTCACTTGTCTTGCAGTTACTTACATTTCCATTATAATTATGTAAGTATTTTGTTAAAAGAAACAATACAACATCTATCTGTGCTTTTAATTGTTGTTAAAAGTTGGTGTAATTCGCTTTTGTCAATAATCACGTAACTAATATTGACAAACAATAAAAAAAACAGTAAGAAAATGATAGAGTTGTTCAGCACATTTAATTAATTAATAATTGAAATTTATAAAATAATAATCATAATAAGTTAAAAGTAAACAAAATTTTCGAAATTTATCACATTTTTATCCAAATCATATGAGTTGAATACTCACTATCAATCAATCAATCAAAAGCAATGTATTTTGACTTAAATCAGTGTGCACAACTCTGAACAACAAGTAAAAAATATATATAGCACTATGTATTAAGTATTGTGTCAATTAAAAAAGAAAAATTAAACTGTAATATTATTTATATTAATATTTAACAGAAATTAAAAAGTCCCCTAATCCAACAAGTAAAAAATATATATAGCACTATGTATTTTGACTATGTATTGTGTCAATTAAAAAAGAAAAATTAAACTGTAATATTATTTATATTAATATTTAACAGAAATTAAAAAGTCCCCTAATCCAACAAGTAAAAAATATATATAGCACTATGTATTAAGTATTGTGTCAATTAAAAAAGAAAAATTAAACTGTAATATTATTTATATTAATATTTAACAGAAATTAAAAAGTCCCCTAATCCAACAAGTAATAAAAAACATTTTCTTCTACAGACTGCTTGACTAATTCTTTTTTATGTGGCAATAAATGTACCTTAGCATCAAGTTCATTAGTTGTAAACCTTCACCCTTCAAAAATTTATCTCTATTCGATGTTTGCATCAAAGAACTACATAAGCAATTAAATAAATTTTCCATTAATTCTTGTTCTTCTGCAGAAGCTGGATCATGTTTTTTATACACCTGTATTAATGAAAATTTAAATATGAAAAAAATATAATATATCTATATAATAATACAGTTTAATATATATTATCAAACACAATATTAAAAACTCACTGCGAGCTGTTGCAATAATGTATCAATTCCATCCAAATCTCCTAATAATTGTCTGTTTTCTGGAGAATCTTGTATTAAAATACTAAGTATTTCGCTGCAATATAATTTATTGGCATCAAAAGGTGCCTTTAATTTTAAACGCTTCAATAACCATGCCAGCAAACCCTGTTTAGACACATCATCACAAATTTCTGGCAGATATTCAGTCAGATTTTCAAAAATGGCTATAATATTTATCAATATTATAAAATAAATTATTAGTATTATATAACCTGCATTATTATTTATTATCATGCTTATTATATGTATTATACCTAGCGTATTGTGCACACCTTCAGCTTCTTCTTTTACCTTTTCATCCAATCGTTCCAAGTTTTGAACAAGCAATGCTGTAGCTTGTTGTTCAGTTAATGCTCCTAGAATAACAAATTAAATTTTGACACAAATAAAATTATAACTAAATATAACCAGTAAATATACAATAAATATTACTTGAATGTAACATATATATATTAAATATAATTACTTAAATGAACTTCTAAAAGTTTACAAAATCTATATTTGTAATAATATACCTATTAATTCATCGGCGCCTTCTCTACTTTCATGAAGTACATCAACATCAGTTATTTCCTGCAAAAGATCAACTACAGCAACTGCTATATCTGTATTTTGATGAGATAATAATTCTAGTAATGAATTCACAGCATTTAATGAAACCAATATTGGATATAAATCTGGAGTGGTGGCAACAGCATGCAGTTCCTGTAATACATAAACAGTAGTTAGATAAATATCTCTATCAGTATAGGGAATTTATAAATATTGATGAAGCAGTATTACATCAGATCACAAATCTACAAATACTAAATACTATAGACTATAATGAAAATATTAAGCCTTAATTATTAGAAAGACTTTTGGGCTTTTTGGGCTTTTCTTTTTTATAATTTTCAATATGAGCACAATGTCGTTAGAAATTATATTTGAATATAGGTCAACAAGCAATATAAGCAAAATTTCATTCTATTCAAATCCAATAAAGAGATATTATTTATGTACCTTCTCTCGCTCTGGAAATGAAGCACTTAATTTCTTAAAAATCCATCGACTTACTGGTAATAGAAAATGAGTAGAAAATAAGCATGCTCATAAAGGGTTGAAGCAGATTTTCTTTCAATTATTTAAAAAGAAAAAAAAAACACAGATGTTGATTTTATATTTTATCTTAAGTTCTTATTATAGTATTTATATTAAATTCATAATATATGATCGTTTTTGTAGTAAAATAAAATATAAAAAAGTTATTGCAAATATATAATTGATGAGGCTATCATTTTGAATATTACATTTAAATTCAGTAATTCAGATTAATATTTTTACAAATTCTCAAGTGCTGAAGATAAATTAATAATCATCAATTCAATGCTAAATACCTGAATTGTTTGATGAAGTTCAACTTCACTTTCCATAAACTTATCTGGAGCCTCGGGAAATTTAATTCGTAACTCTTGATTTTTAAGCACTCTTTTCTCTAGCATAAGAATTAAACGTTTTAAACCTGCTTCATCTAATACATCGCCCTGTAAAAACAAAACTAAGAATAAATTGCAAAATTAAAATATGTGTTCACAGAATTTGTAATACTTCTGGTTCTTCATTTTCAACATATTTGAGAATATCTATTTTGTCATTTTCATTGACACTGGATTCTTCGGCAAACGGTGCTGAGGATCGAATTATCTGTTCAGCTTTTTTTTTAGCCATATGACGCATTTTTGAAGTTTGCCTTACTTCAACCTCATCCTTCTCACTTTCTTCTTCTTCTAATGGACGTTTTGGTGCTTGTGGGGGCTACAGAACAGAGTATATCAAATGAGAATTGAATACTATTGAGAAACATGTTATATTGATTTGAAAACATTCCCATGAAATTCTTTGAATGGATAAAAATAAAATGATAGTATATTAATTAATGTAAAGTCACAATTTTAAAATAACTCAATTACTAACATGGCTCAGAGTATGTGCTTAGCAATAGTTTACAGTATTTTATTCAGAATGAAAAATGAAAAAATACGTTATAATATCATATGTCATACAATAGCAATAATAATTATTACTTTTGTAACTAAATTTGTGTGCATTTTTCTTTGAAATGAAATAAAATATAATTAACTATAATAAATATTATTTAGTTTAATTCTGATTATTGTCATTACTTCATTGTTTAAAAACTTGTAGGTTGTAAAATACTTTTGGAAACTCATATTAATTAAGATAATTTCACATAAATACCTTATATGCTAATAATTCATCGACTTCCATTTTATCTAATTATCAAATAGAGTTAATTATAAATATATCTTATAAAAATATTAGGATAGGATTAGAATTATTGTATTGAGCTTTCTTCTTCTATATTGTTTTGTTGACAAGTTATTGAAACCACATGTGAACAACTTCACAAGCGAACGAAAGACATGAAAATTAAATGTCAAAATCAGTTTAATTGAAATCATTTTTTACTATTTTTTTCAATAAATACGTTCAATATTATTCATGGTGCAAGATTCGTATATATATAATTATCAACTATTAATAACTTTTTCTAGCTGTTCTAATTCAACCTTTAGACAAAATGAAGAAAAAAGTATAACTTATGATTAAAAATATTAAAATGTATTGCAAAATATTTATGATTACTATTGTTATTATCCTGGCAGGTTCTTTTGATGGGCAAAAGCGGATCTGGGAAAACTAGCATGAGATCAATAATATTTGCCAACTATATTGCTAGAGACACAAGGAGGCTGGGAGCAACAAGTTATGTCGTAGTATTATAGAGTTTCTTCACGTCTGTTTATATTTATTATTGTTTTATTGAAATTAAACTTTGTCATTTTACTTGATAAGTAAATTATTTGTGATACAACTCTTTACAACAATCTTAACTGAAAAAAATTGAGTATATAAAATATTCCATTTTAAAGGTCATTACTAAGTGCAAAGATTTCAGTAGAAATTATATTAGGCTATTAAAAACACTTCAAATTATTATACTCAATTGTTATAATAATTTTTTTTAAAAAACATGTTTGTGATGAATGACCTCTATTGCATTTGCAAATTAAACTTAGTCTCCGGTTTCATATTTTTAATTAATGCCAGATTTATAAAATGCATTATGTATGAATAGTATTTATATGGTTAATTTAATATGATGCAGAACTTTGAAAAACACTGCTTTTTTGTTTAATTATATCTTAACTCTTACAAAGCTGATTATTCCTAATCTTAAATATATTACAGTTGATGTTGAGCATTCCCATGTTCGATTCTTGGGTAATCTTGTTTTAAATTTATGGGATTGTGGTGGACAAGAGGCCTTCATGGAGAATTATTTTGCATCACAGCGAGATAATATTTTCAGAAATGTTGAAGTTTTAATATATGTATTTGACGTTGAAAGCAGAGAATTAGATAAAGACATGCATTATTATCAATCTTGCCTGGAAGCCATATTGCAGGTTTTATTTTATACTTCTTGCACATACAATGATTTTATACTTCTTCCACATACTTTGTTTTTTTTTTAGAACTCACCAGAAGCAAGAATTTTTTGTCTCGTGCACAAAATGGACTTGGTTGCTGAGGAGCAACGTGATATGATATTCAGAGAACGAGAAGAAGATTTAAAGCGATTAAGTAAACCTCTTGAATGTACTGCATTTAGAACTAGTATTTGGGATGAAACTTTATACAGGTATATTTAATTAAATTATGTATACATATGTATATATATATAATTTTTGTTTTTACCTTTTAGGGCTTGGTCAAGTATTGTTTATATGCTAATACCTAATGTAAAAGCGTTAGAAAATTCCTTGGCACAATTTGCAAGTATTGTTGATGCTGATGAAGTGCTTTTATTTGAAAGGGCAACATTTCTTGTAATTTCACATTGCCAAAGAAAGCCTCACAGAGATGGTCACAGATTTGAAAAGGTATCATTACATATAATGTGAGGTCTCTTAGAAGCATTAGAAATTTTTACACTCAATAAGTATTTCTCTCCAGTTTGTTTTTTAGATTTTGTAATTAATATAGAAAAATTTAAATCTTGCAATAATTATTTAGACTATATTTACAATATCTTCAACAAAAATTAAGGATATATAATTGAACATATATTAAATCACTATTAATTCAATTAATTCTCTATTTTATATAAGAATGTTTCTTTCTAGGTATCTAACATAATTAAGCAATTTAAATTGTCCTGTTCCAAACTGGCTGCACAATTTCAATCAATGGAGGTACACTTAATATATTCTTGCTTTGTTATTACATTATTAATGTTTAATTATTTATAGGTGCGCAACAGTGCATTTGCTGCATATATAGATATTTTTACTAGCAATACCTATGTCATGGTGTGTATGTCCGATCCTGCTATTCCCTCTGAAGCAACACTGATCAACATCCGCAATGCAAGAAAGCATTTTGAAAAACTTGAAAAAGTCTCATCCACAACTGTTTCTCACCGTTAGATTTATATTATATTGAGTGAATAACTCTTTTTTATTATATTATTTTATTTTGCATATAACATGACAATAAATTATATATTATGTTATATAGTCAATATATGTGCAATGTTCTTTTAAATCACTTGCAAAATTTTTATACAAAAAGTTACAAAATACTAATTTTACAATAAACATTATAAAAATTACAAATATAATGCAGACTTAAAATGACAGGCCATTGATTTTGAACACAATTGTTAATATAAATTAAAGTTAATCCTATCAACTTATATAATACAGTCGAACCTTAGAAGTAGTAATTAATCTATTGGCATCATAAAATTTAGTTTCTATCACAACATTGCCATTCAGTACACTTGCCGGCATCATTTGGGATTCAGGAGCTGCTTCTATCATGGACTGCCAAGTGTTCGTAGAGTTTGGTATGACAAATCCAAACTCAAAAAACCATTCTTCTAAGCAATGTCCTTTGAACAAAACTTTTTGTTCAATTCGAAAGTTTTCAATAGAATGTAGAGAAGAAAAATTTATTTCTCGGGAGATGGCTCTTGATTTCAAAATTTTCTTAGGTACTTTGGCTTCGTGTTCAACATCAGGTTCTGAGAGATCTTCATGGCCTTCCCATAAAACTTTTCCACTATCAACATCTTTCAAATTCATCCAATTAATTTGAAATCCGCGAAATATCTCATGAACTTCTGTCATGACGGTAGGAATGCTGGACAATAATAAATATGATTTGATAATGATATATTATGGCAATGTCTATTAATTTATAAATTAAATGTGTAATGTAAACTCTATGCGATAAAAGTGTTTCATTTCTTTAATATATTTATTATTTATGACTTCACATTTCGTACAATAAAATCTAAATGTTTATATTTTGCAAAAACTGATGGCTAGTTTGACAACTACATACTACATTACATTATACCAAAGCATAGATAATCAAATGAGTCAGAGCATAGATAAATGGCTCAGAGTAGAGTCCTTCAAATGATAACACGCAAAGTGCGACAACATTAATCATCAATCGTGATGAACTTCATCTCTGTCCGTATCATATGAAACTCCACATTCTCGTACAGCTGTCAATTTCTCAAGTTGAGATGTAAATGGTATACAAATAATTTTTTTTAATGTCTTTATCATTATTTAAATATTTTTGAGGATAATAATATCTATTCTGAAATACTTTTTAATATCATGGTTTCTGCGAGTACTTCGTAGAAGGTTAAGATTTTTTATGGACTGAGACGATATATACCAATGATTTCTTTATATTATTAGCACAAACAATTATATTGGTGCAAGAAACTATTTCCATAAGGTATACTAAAATAAATTTTGAATTTACATTTATACTATTTCATATACTAATTCAAATGCAAATACTTATAATCTTTTTAAATGTGTTGCCAAGACCATTATTCAAAGAGACTATAAGAGAGTTAGTAAAGTATCTGTAAATCTAGAGTCTAGAAAAACTTTTAATCATGTTTGTACCCAGCAGTACACACTGTAATACTTTTAACATCAGGTTTTATTAAAGAGGCAAATCTTGGAAATAATGAAGTGAATTGATTCGATCCCCAAGTTTTGAAATAAATTTAAATTTAAATTTGTGAAATCATGAAAAATTGGTTTTAATTCATTTTGCTAACCATTTATCAAGTAATTTTCATATAAAGCAATGAGAATTTATCACCAACACTTGACTGTCTGGAATCAGTGTAGTAAGTTGTTGTAGTCTAGAAAAATATTAGAATTAACTGGTCACATGTCTGCCGTTTCAAAGCCATTACTTGCATTCTGGATGTTTGCAGCTTTTTCATTTGCTTCATTAATCAAACACTCGATTTCTTGATTGAAATAACTTGTGCAATGTTCAATGGGTAAACACAACATATGAATTTCTTATGGTATAAATGAAACAGTAGATGTTTTTGACTTAAGTGACCATTACAAATAGGTAGAACCGGATTGTCATTGCTAGATTACGTATGTGCCTGAAAATGTTAAAAATTTCAGAAACACTTTTTGATTTTTATCCATTCTGATTCTTATGCTAGCCTAACTGTACTGATTCCGGTTTTATCCATAATTAACATTGCATCTCATTCTTCATAAATACAGAGAAATTTTGCTGCCTGTGGTTTATTAAACACTTGCACTCTTGATGAAGAATTTTTTTTGGTGCGTTCAAAGAAATGTTATTATTACTTCTTAGGAAATCGTTAAAACCTCTTGTCCGAAACATTTCTTGTTAAATACCTTTTTTTTCTGCTGAACTGGTGCACAAAGGAAGCTTTTACTTATGATGCCTAAAATACTGCAACATAATTTTTGTATAAATCAAAGAGTCTAGTTAGTCTATTAAAGCCAGCATCAGTTTATACACAAACCAAAAATTCTTTGTTGACAAGTTGAAAAATATAAATTTCGAAACTAGCCTGAAGTCTTAATCTGAAATTAGGAGATTCACTGAAATCCTTCAAGATGTGGATAGTTTAATATCTTGAAAGTGATATTATCAATAAATATTCTTGAAGATTTTATTACCAAAACAAATTAGAATTTAATAATTTAACCCAGAGTGATAAATTTGGAAATACTAGTTGACATACTGGTACCAATTTATTACTTTTTTACTTCAATTTGTGTTTCTCTTATTTCTCGTTTTTTGGGTTGTAAATTGAGTGTAAGAAATTGCAATTTTAAGTTTATTTTTAATTTACTTCTAATAGAAGCTGCTATTAGACCTAGATTAAATTAAACCTAGGTTTAATTACACATCTTAAAAATTTGTAATTTAATACATTTGTAACCTTTGTATTTATAAAGTGGTATTAGTGTCACAATTTCTGCTATTTTTAGGTGCTCCTGGCTAACATGAGATAGATTAATAATAATAATTGTTGTATTTTATAATCAATCCAGTTGTTCCCCATATTTTACGCTTTAACGTTTGATAACATGAGTGTATTCAAATAACTTTTCCGTGACATCGGAAATCACATTCAAAAATTTTGAATTTTTTTCCAATTATGATTTTCTAATATTCAATTATTAGATAGAAATTGCTGCAAGGATTTCTATGGCATAAAACTTGCTCCGTATATGCAATATAATGTCTGTATGAGAGAAATTATTAAAGGGCTAAAGGACATGTCATATTAATAATAAAAGAAGATTTTAACTTTTAATTAATTTTAATTCTAATATGTAACAAGCAACATAATTCACATAATTTTATCCAATCCATAGTTTTATCTTATATTCAGAATTTTATTGTTGCAATTTGTGATAGGTTTCGAACATGAAATTATTGCTTTCTTTTAGTGTCAATATCTACCAATTTTAACTAAATTATTTTTGCACCAACAACAATGGGTGAAATTAAATTTAACTTATGATTATTTTTTTTAATTTTACATTAATTCGGCAGAATTAAATTACATTAATAAACATTAATTAACGATTGTTAATTATTTCGAAAAAATATTTTAAAACATAACCAAAATAACTATTCATTTCAATTTAAGTATACATTACAAGCATTTGTGCATCTTGATTCACTATTGTGCACGGTTAATTGGAAAAACCAATAATAATAAAAAGTGTGAGCTTGATAAATATAGTAACAGTGTAATGATTTAATCTATGTAACCCTATAATTAATATTTTGATATAATCTTTATGTAAACATCATGGATATATGTGGAATGAAATATTGCATGTACAAAATATACTTAGTCCACGGCAACGGCCAATAATGTTATTCGTATCATCGGTATCATAACTACAGCAAATATCTGAAACAAAATGTTAAAAAATTTTGTTTTTTTGGTGATATATATCATGGTCTTATAGAACTTACTGAAATATCACGGCCTTGCGACTAGTAGTTTAATTTTAAAAAATTTTCAAAGTTTGAGAAAATGAGTAGTTTTTTGACGTTTGTTAAATTTAAATTATACGATTTACTGGTATAACGATAGAGTACTTGGTCTTATTGAACATACTAAACCATTAAAGTCCTACAGAAACTTGTTCAATTATAAAAATTGTTGATTTTTTAAAATTAGCTTTTAGAAAATACTGCGAGTTAACGTCCTCGTTCGTTTTCAATCATACATAAATTAATATTTTTTATTGATTAAGTCGATTATTTGCACATATCGTGAAGTTCATGTAACTTGCCTTAAGGCAAAATACCAATACCAACTAGTTTTTATATTATATTTCAACTGTTACATGATGTTTATTAATAAAATTTAAATTTATTTTTTTGCGTAGGTTATGCAGTCTCACATATAAGCAGCAATCAAATTGATGCGATAAAACTCATTGTATCAAATTAGAGTAGCACCTTCTTGCAATCACAATCTTGCACGAATTGCATTTAAGCAGATAAATCTGTTCTTTATAAAATTTCAAAGAATCAGTCTTTTTTTTTCATGTTGATCAATAATTAATAAATAAAATGTGATGAGATATATATAAATAACGTATAACTATTATTACTTTTTAATAGCCATTTTTAATTTCAAACCTTTTATGACAATAATATTGTTTATTCAATATTTAAATTTGGTTTCGCTCGCATGATATTTGCTTATGGCATATGAATTTTATAATTATTTACTTTTACTAGTTTTATTCACCTGTTTCATCCATTCTTTTTCAGATTGTTCAATGACGTGTGCATAAGTGTTTCCCATCATTGCGATTAACATATTAAGGAGAAGAATTGGTACAAATACCATAAAGATAACAAAGACGGTCTTGCTTAAATTTGGATATGTTGTATATCCCAGGTCTGAATACTGTAAAATAAAAGACAGTTTATTATTCTGAATAATTTAATTATATTAAACTTGGGACGACTAAAGCTGGTCAATAGTAATTTACACTTTGCTGATGCACCTATCTCTTTTGATATTTTTTTTCAATTTCCTTTTTTTCATGCCTCTGTATTTTTTCCGGGTTGTGTTATGTAAGTCGAAATCGTAATTTTTTGTGCCCATTATAATAGTAACTTTTTGCAACATTCTGATTTATTTATCGTGTTTAGTTTCAAATTATACAACTTCTATTTTAAGTATGAAGTGGCCCCTCTCACTGAATAAGATTTTAATTCCAGTGGTTATGGATTCCAATTATCCACGGTATCCTGAACTGCAATCTTGGCTATACCTGACTTTATCCTTAATATCTAGATGGTGCTTTTGGTTCTGGCCTTATTGAATTTGTTATATTTTTTTACATTTTTCAGTATTTTTCAACAACGCGAAATAAGACAGGAGGTTCTGTGGTTCTTGAGAGCATCAATAATTTCTATCTCGTACATGGGTCATTCTTTTAGAAATCACATTAATTTTGGGAACAATAAAATGACACAATTTAGAATTGCCTGATATTTTTTTACACATATTATATATAAAATCATTTGACAAATATTTAAGGGTTTTGCCGAAAAAAAAAATTTTTACGTAAATATTTACGATTGAAATATGGATGATTTGCTCAATTTTCCGCGGAACATCCTCAGCGTTCAATCAAATATCTCTAGTAGTGCTGATCGGATCAGTATTATTTTGAAGTAAAACTTTTTAAGCGCGACTAGGGTGTAAATCCGTACAAATGCAACGGAAGTGCGTTACGGCCGAGTCGAGTGCCAATGATTCGTCGGTCGTCGTATCATGTGCGAAGCTTCTTTGTATGCGTGACTTTATACGTGCGTACGTCACCGAAAGCGTGAAGCATATTGTTCATTTTTTGGTGTTTCATGTTATTACATTTTAAGGTTAAATAGTAGTACAAATTTGAGTTACTAAAAATGTCTGGATCTGAAGAATATTTTATCCCGTCCCCCATGAATAATAATAATGCTAATAATGTTATTCGTATCATCGGTATCATAACTACAGCAAATATCTGAAACAAAATGTTAAAAAATTACGTAAATAAACAAGTGACATAGCTAACTTAATTGAGTGGTATTTTGTAAATTCAAGTAAAAATGCATAATTAAGGTTTCTCTTACTTCATTTTTGGTTCCTTAGTTGGCGTACTTATTGACAATCTGCCCCACATTAGTTTTCTAAGATCTTCTCCAGAAATATTGCGTTTATGTAATTCATTTATTGTAACTCTTCCTACTCGCTGTAAAAAAGTGTTATAAATAATCAATTTAACAATAAAGTAATGAAATAAGTAGGCTTGCACCGAATATTCGGTTATTATTCGGTATTCGGCATATTCGGCACATTTTTTAATATTCGGCATGGTAAAAGTAACTTTTTCCATTCGGCCGAATACCGAATAGTTAAAATCAAATGCGCCGCCGCCGTTCAGCGACAGCATTGTTGGTGTTTTATCATTTATGCGATCAAGAGCTCGCGATTAGTTATTAATAAAAATTTTCATAATTAGCACTTGTAATAGTTTTGCAAATTAATATATGAATTTTTTTTTGCGGTAACTCACGTAATAGTTTTTCAAAGAAATGATTATTACAAACTATAACTATTTTGAAACCCATTTGTGATTTTTTTTAAACATTTGCGAGAGTGTCTTGATTTCGTTCAGAAATTTGTTGTCATATTTATCAAGCTTTTAATTGGAGTTATTTAATTTGCACTGATAGAGTGGTGGTTTTGCAATACATATATTTATCCATTATTTTTACCAATTTATCATTTATCGTATATCATAAATCATATATTAGTTTACCAATATATGATTTCTTTCGGCTTCTTTTAAAAGGCGATTATCATCACATTCAAAACGTTCTTATTAATTAAATATTTTCTGAAAAGTGGAAAGATAAAAGACCACGTGCAAAATCTGATAAGAAAAGCATATACGGTAATGCAGAGTACGCTGAGTCTCGGCTAAATGTTATTTTATAATAACTTCAGCAGAAGGGTGAAGACGTTGGACAGTTTATTAGTCGGAGTGTTGGCACATGGGGCAGAAATTTGGGGTTGGATATCGCCGAGCTAGAAAGAGTATAGAAGTAATACTTGAAATGGATACTTGGTCCAGAGTCTTGTACTCCACAATACGTACTATATGAAGAAGTAGAACGCGACAAATTACACTTGAGATTGGCTAAGAGAGCCATGAATTTTGAAGAGAAACAGCTAAAGTCAGAAGAGAATGCCATAGTGAAGGAATGTATAAGAAAAAGAAGAAAAGGTAAAGGGGATTAAGAGAGGTGGATGAAAGGAGAAGGTATCTAAACAATTGTGGATTTGGCCAAGAGGGTATAGTACAACCGAGCCCAAATGGAGCGCATGTTGGAGAGGTACTGCGGGAGAGAGGCAGCGAGGTACAAAAACAGGAACACTAGAACAATCTGGAAAGATCCAGATACCATAGATGGTATAATAGAGCGATAATGTCAAGAAAGCTTCCGGAGTACCTCTGAGTCTGCAGCAATGGTTTCGATCAGAGAGTAATAGCGCGTTGTAGATGTGGCTCTATGGAGAAACAAAATAAACACTGACTGAGTCCAGAAGAACGAAGATGTGAGCTGTACGGTCAGGAACAGGACACAGTGGAGCATTGGAGAGAAAGTTACGCGGTGCTAGAGAGAACGAGCATTTCTGTAGATGACATTCTCATGGCAAAAAGTTGTAGAACGTCAAGAAAGTTCTAGACTGGTTGAAAATAATCAATCGCATGAAAAGAACAAAGAAAAAAGAGTTACTTGGGAAACCAGTCTAGAACGCTCGAGTTATTACATCATTGATTAGGTTTTTGTTTATATTAATCTGCGGATTTGATTTTAAGTTAAGGTAGGATTAATGTATTGCTGTATTTCTAAGCCAGTAGGCTGGAATAAATAAATACAAAAAAATCTAGTTGTATATACACATTTTATTTACTATTTTGGCCAGTTTCCTTAATCCGCTTCCTCGATTTATTGTTTTACTTTTATTATTTTCTGGGTTATCTTAAGCTTTCTATTTTTCATTCATGTTTCATTTTATAAAATTTAATTTATATCTCTTTTCTTATTTTAGATTTATTACTTTTAATTTTTTTAGATTCCACTTTTGTTATCTAATGTTTCATCTCTATATCGACCATCAGCATATTATGATCTGAGTTGTTATCGGCTCTTGCAAGACAATTTCTAAAAGTTTGTCACAAAATACACCTTTATTGAATGAAAACGTTATTGCATTTGCATTTTAAAATAGATGTTTACCGACTTCGATTAGCAACATGCATAAAAAATAAATTAAAATAAATGAGTTTTTAACAAAATAATTATCTCAAACACCTTCCAGTTAGTAAGCGCCCCTTTTCTCTGCTTTGCTCTTGTTTTGCTTTTACTTTTGATAATCATTACTCCTCTCTGTTCATAACTAGAGTCGTCGGAAGGTCCCATTCCAATTGAATATTCTTCTAGATACTTGTGAAGATCGGTTTGGCTCACTGCACGTTCTAAAGTTACAACGATTTTTGCCCACTAAAAATGTAAAAGATATTAATATTATAGGAATTAAATATTAAAGTTTTGTTAATCAAATAGTTCATCGTTATTCTGCAGTATATAGTAATAAAAAAATTATAATCATACACAATAAATTTATTAGTTAACTCAACAGAGCCACTATATATTATAGTTCGAACTAATTTAGAAAATAGTTAAAACTAATTTAGACAATAGAGAGCTGAGAGCATTTATAACGAGTTCAGCAAAACAGAAAATCTATCTGGATTGTTTTTGTTTCTATTATTAATATACATTTCTGTTATACAATTAATATTTCATATTATAAAATATGCCAATAGATTGAATATGTTTAAAATATTTATATGTAAAATTTTTCATCCAGCTCATTATCTTACCGATTTTAAAAATTCAAAAACTTATCGAACGACATTGGTTGCGAATCGCATTGATAAGTTTCTTATAAAGATCAGCCATACTGGTTGCAATTGACGTCTACTCTTAAATCAAATACATTTTCAGTACACGGATTGGATGAAATAAAATGTGTTAAAGTTAAAAAAAAAATAATTTATACAAATACAGATATAACTGATATAGAAATAAACAGTTGAATATTTTATCTAGATAGCTGAATCTCAACTCTTATTGATTAAGATAATGCTGATAATACTGATAGGAAAGTTCATGCAACTTGCCTTAAGGCAAAATGCTACTTACCACTAGTTTATTAATAGCTACTTTTTTTACACTTCTTTTTAAATATCTATATATATATATATTTATATATATATATATATATATAAATTTAAGAAATTTTCTTTGACACAAATCAGTAAACAAACCCTTTATTAACTTCCCGAAGAAGAAGTTTATGTTTTCATCAAAAAATCTGATTCGCTAATTTTATGTTTTCTCGACGTTTCAAGCCATTCTGAATCGAATGAGACCAAATTTGGAAAGAGTATGTGTGTGTGTGTGCGTGTGCACAAACAGATTTTTTGCCGTGAATCGACGTTTTCTCAAAAACGGCTGGATTGATTTAAAAAATTTAAAAGCCATTCGATATATCTCAATAAGGACTAGCGTTTATCAACTTTATGCGACGATCAGCCAAGCCGTTTCTTTGTAAATAGCAATTTTCGACCACGTTTTAGCCCGCAATTCTGAATCGATTTGGAAAGTTTAAAAACCGTTCGAAACATATTGGTTGGGAATCGACCTGATCAGTTTTTGGTAAAGATCGGCTGGGCCGTTTTCTTGTGATAAAGTGTTGAAAAACATTTTTTCGGCGATTTTCATGAATTTTTTTTTGGTGATAGATTAAGTCGTTTAACTTTGAAAAGTCATCAAAGTTCGCAAACATAAGTATAGTTTTTTGGGCGTTTGTCAAAATTAGATTTTTCATCGACGTTTGCTCAAAAATGCCTGAACCGATTTGCGAAATTTAAAGCCATTTGATGTCCCTCGATGAGGATTATCGTTTGTCAGTTTTGTGCGACGATCTGCCGAGCCGTTTCTTTGTGGTTCGGATAAAAGTGTTAAACTTTTCGTCCACATTTAAGCTCATACTATCGAACTTCTTTAGGTGAAAATCTACCGAGCCATTTTCTTGTAATTAACTGTTGAAAAAAAAAATTAAGCCGATTTTTATCGAACTTTTTTTGGTGATATATATCATGGTCTTATAGAACTTACTGAAATATCACGGCCTTGCGACTAGTAGTTTAATTTTAAAAAATTTTCAAAGTTTGAGAAAATGAGTAGTTTTTTGACGTTTGTTAAATTTAAAATTATACGATTTACTTGGTATAACGATAGAGTACTTGGTCTTATTGAACATACTAAACCATTAAAGTCCTACAGAAACTTGTTCAATTATAAAAATTGTTGATTTTTTAAAATTAGCTTTTAGAAAATACTGCGAGTTAACGTCCTCGTTCGTTTTCAATCATACATAAATTAATATTTTTTATTGATTAAGTCGATTATTTGCACATATCGTAAAGTTCATGTAACTTGCCTTAAGGCAAAATACCAATACTAACTAGTTTTATATTATATTTCAACTGTTACATGATGTTTATTAATAAAATTTAAATTTATTTTTTTGCGTATGTTATGCAGTCTCACATATAAGCAGTAATCAAATTGATGCGATAAAACTCATTGTATCAAATTAGAGTAGCACCTTCTTGCAATCACAATCTTGCACGAATTGCATTTAAGCAGATAAATCTGTTCTTTATAAAATTTCAAAGAATCAGTCTTTTTTTTCATGTTGATCAATAATTAATAAATAAAATGTGATGAGATATATATAAACAACGTATAACTATTATTACTTTTTAATAGCCATTTTTAATTTCAAACCTTTTATGACAATAATATTGTTTATTCAATATTTAAATTTGGTTTCGCTCGCATGATATTTGCTTATGGCATATGAATTTTATAATTATTTACTTTTACTAGTTTTATTCACCTGTTTCATCCATTCTTTTTCAGATTGTTCAATGACGTGTGCATAAGTGTTTCCCATCATTGCGATTAACATATTAAGGAGAAGAATTGGTACAAATACCATAAAGATAACAAAGACGGTCTTGCTTAAATTTGGATATGTTGTATATCCCAGGTCTGAATACTGTAAAATAAAAGACAGTTTATTATTCTGAATAATTTAATTATATTAAACTTGGGACGACTAAAGCTGGTCAATAGTAATTTACACTTTGCTGATGCACCTATCTCTTTTGATATTTTTTTTCAATTTCCTTTTTTTCATGCCTCTGTATTTTTTCCGGGTTGTGTTATGTAAGTCGAAATCGTAATTTTTTGTGCCCATTATAATAGTAACTTTTTGCAACATTCTGATTTATTTATCGTGTTTAGTTTCAAATTATACAACTTCTATTTTAAGTATGAAGTGGCCCCTCTCACTGAATAAGATTTTAATTCCAGTGGTTATCGATTCCAATTATCCACGGTATCCTGAACTGCAATCTTGGCTATACCTGACTTTATCCCTAATATCTAGATGGTGCTTTTGGTTCTGGCCTTATTGAATTTGTTATATTTTTTTACATTTTTCAGTATTTTTCAACAACGCGAAATAAGACAGGAGGTTCTGTGGTTCTTGAGAGCATCAATAATTTTCTATCTCGTACATGGGTCATTCTTTTAGAAATCACATTAATTTTGGGAACAATAAAATGACACATTTTAGAATTGCCTGATATTTTTTTACACATATTATATATAAAATTATTTGACAAATATTTAAGGGTTTTGTCGAAAAAAAAATTTTTACGTAAATATTTACGATTGAAATATAGATGATTTGCTCAATTTTCCGCGGAACATCCTCAGCGTTCAATCAAATATCTCTAGTAGTGCTGATCGGATCAGTATTATTTTTGAAGTAGTTTTTAGGCGCGACTAGGGTGTAAATCCGTACAAATGCAACGGAAGTGCGTTACGGCCGAGTCGAGTGCCAATGATTCGTCATTCGCTCTTGATGCTATCATTTCTATACTTGTCGATTGTGATCGGTCGTCGTATCATGTGCGAAGCTTCTTTGTATGCGTGACTTTATACGTACGTACGTCACCGAAAGCGTGAAGCATATTGTTCATTTTTTGGTGTTTCATGTTATTACATTTTAAGGTTAAATAGTAGTACAAATTTGAGTTACTAAAAATGTCTGGATCTGAAGAATATTTTATCCCGTCCCCCATAAATAATAATAGTGCTAATAATAAAACAAATGAAAAATTTGTGCCGTGTGAGAAACGTAAGTTTATTGAAGTAATTTGTATTATTCGAGGTTTTCGAGGTTACTTTGAGGTTATTACAATATATAAAATAGAAAATATTTTTGCGAGCAAGACAGACACTACAGCTGCTCAAAGAATGAAATTATATCGCCAAAAACAACTGAAAAAAATACAACCAGTCAATGAATGTTTGTTAATATTAATTACATGAAGTTCTTCTAACACAATTATTACACGATGAGTGAAATTGTGTAAACAATATTTCTTTAAGCGTTGTTTTACAAATTCCACTATGTGAACGAATATTATAGAATTTATTAATCAGCAATTACTTCATTTCTCTAATGAAGGTCCAAGTCCTAAATGCTAATTACAATGACAAACCGATCATTTCATATTTGAAGTATGACTTTAATTACGTTATTGTTTTCAAATATTATGAATATTTTTAGTGCTATTATAAATATATAATTTATAATTTATTATTATATAAATGTGTATAATGCTTGACACTAATAAATGTGTGCATCACAAGTGCAACCATATTACTGATAAACATTCAAAATTGTTATATGATGTATTTATTTACAATTGAAATGTCATCCTGTGAATACAAAAAAGTTTTACTTCAATCGCGTGTGAACCTTACGCGCACTCTTTTTATTTTATTCTTTTCATATTGAAGTCAACTATATAATTATACCTAAATGTTTCCTAAAGTTATACCTAATCTTTTAACTCAAATCGATTAAAAAAAAGATATTAAATATTTTCGAGCGCGAGTCGCGCTTTCCACGTCGGGGCCCTCAAATAGTGCAGTAAACGGAGCGTTTTAGGTCTGAATTTTTTTCTGTGCTCCGAATTGAATGAAATTTTGGAATTAGGTTCATCTTACCCTCAAGTTCAAAAGTGAAAACAATTCGGGTTGCGCCATCACTCCCCTTCTCAATTGTGTAATTACATTTTTTCAAAATAACGTCTGAAATCGATAGAAGAACTAATTATATATCTTCTATAGTTTTTCAAAAAAACTAATACTTTTCAAGTTACTGATCACTAAAGATTCATATATTTTTGGCGTTTTTCTCTGTTTTTTTTTTTGCAAATATTTCCTAAAATATACATTTTAACGAAAATCATGTAATGAACAAAATAATGTCAATAAAAATCTTAATAAATTGGTATTACATAAAGTGTTCTAGGAAAAATATTAAGCGAGATTTGAAAGAGCAAAGTCGTTTTTTATTTCGTTCAGGATTTAATTGTTGTATTTAAGGCCATCTAGTGTCGAGATTTTACATTCTGTGCATTTTGGTGAAATTGGATTTTATAGTGCTTTACATAAGCTTTAAAATGAGTGCTGTTACAAGTTTTTTGCGTGTAAAATGAGTGAGCTATCATGCAAGTAAGAAGCATATACGATGTTTTTTTCTTTCAAATCATATGGTTTAATGAGCGCCATTTCCACCAGAAAAATAGTAATTCACATTCCATCTAGAATTCACTTCATTATAGACATCTTGATGGATTCTAGCAGATTCACTACTTTCTAGCAGATTCACCATCCATCAAGATGTCTATAATGAAGTGAATTCTAGATGGAATGTGAATTACTTTAATTCTGGATTTAATTCTACGATGTTTTTTTCTTTCAAATCATATGGTTTAATGAGCGCCATTTCCACCAGAAAAATAGTAATTCACATTCCATCTAGAATTCACTTCATTATAGACATCTTGATGGATTCTAGCAGATTCACTACTTTCTAGCAGATTCACCATCCATCAAGATGTCTATAATGAAGTGAATTCTAGATGGAATGTGAATTACTTTAATTCTGGTGAAAATGGCGCTCATTAAACCATATGATTTGAAAGAAAAAAACATCGTATATGCTGCTTACTTGCACGATAGCTTACTCATTTTACACGCAAAAAACTTGTAACAGCACTCATTTTAAAGCTTATGTTGAGCACTATAAAATCCAATTTCACCGAAATGCATAGAATGTAAAACCTCGACACTAGATGGCCTTAAATACAACAATTAAATCTTGAACGAAATAAAAAACGACTTTGCTCTTTCAAATCTCGCTTAATATTTTTCCTAGAATACTTTATGTAATACCGATTTATTAAGATTTTTATTGACATTATTTTGTTCATTATATGATTTTCGTTAAAATGTATATTTTAGGAAATATTTGCAAAAAAACGAGGAAAAACGCCAAAAATATATGAATCTTTAGTGATCAGTAACTTGAAAAGTATTAGTTTTTTTGAAAAACTATAGAAGACATTTTTTTCTTATAATTAGTTTTTCTATCGATTTCCGACGTTATTTTGAAAAAATGTAATTACACAATTGAGAAGGGTGGTTATCTCACCGGGGGGTGATGGCGCAACCCGAATTGTTTTCACTTTTGAACTTGAGGGTAAGATGAACCTAATTCCAAAATTTCATTCAATTCGGAGCACAGAAAAAAAAATTCAGAGGTTATACCATTTTTTCCTCTCCGCTTACTGCACTAAAAGGCTTGTATTCATTTGTCACTTTCGAATGCCCATATTATTGTTTTTGGGTTGATTTTTTTTATAATTTTGTTTGTGGGGACAAATGAATATATAGTCGGAAAAAAATTCATTGGGCGAGAGCGGGGCTTGAAGATCCGCAAGTAAAAATTCACTACCAATATTTCAAAAACTGTTTATAGAAGTTGAGCAAAACATCCATATTTCAATCTTAAATATTCACGTAAAATTTTTTTTCAGCAAAATCCTGAAATACGTGTCAAATGATTTTATGTATAATATCTGTAAAAAAAAAATTACAGACTATTCTAAAATGTCAAGGTCTGGTCGGTGAGCGTTTGTGAAATAATGTTTTTCTTATCAATTTGTATTAATAATAAATCAACATAAACTTACCTTTATATATTTTATACAAATTTAATTTTTTGAGTTTACTTAGTATGTATTGACAATAGTAGATATAGTACGATTCAACTTACAACGTAATCTCCCAATGTGATTTGAAAAAGCGCCATCCACGTTCTGGGGTAATTACCATAAAGAGTAGATTTAACGCTTGGAAATCCTGAAAATTGTTTCCAAATAATTTACTTTTTATTGTATATTTATGTAAGGATCACCTTTATATAGAAAGTAGAATGACTGTGAGAAACCAAAAAGTACAATCATATAAATAATGCCAAATGTTAACATGTCGCCCGTTATCATGCTATATATCATGGTAACAAATGGTCCTGTCAATCTCACGGCCCTGAAACATTTACAGATATAAAATAATATTAATAATATAAAGGGCAAATATGGCTTATTTCAATTATGTTATCGTTTTTGAATGTGAAAACTAATGAGAATCAACCACAATAACGGAAAAATAGTCGCAGCAAAAACTCATAGTTTTCAAACTACATAGATTTGTTTTCTATTTTTTTCATAATATATATATGTATATATATATATATATATATATATATTTCTAATAAATGTACTATTCGAATCGAACAACATACCCAGCAAAAAACATGAGAAGAAACCAAGAACCTGGCACGGCAAATACTAAAATTGCTTCTTCTGTTTTTCGATCGCCCATGAGGCGGCATGGAATACAGCACAATATTAAAAAGTTGGAGATCAGAAATATAGCCTTAGCAGGAGCATGAGTCTGAAATCGATAAATACTGTAATAATATAATAACCCACGGTTTTATTAAAACAATAAAAACTACAGGTGTGACCATATCCTTATTGTTAACTGTCAACATTATTGTAATATTATAATATTTTTGTGAGAATAATCAATAGTAAAAAAGTTATTTTAAATTATTGGAACTCACCAGTTGCTTTAGAAAAGCTGCCATACCCTGATTTTTAACTTCATCTCCTTGCTGTAGAATGACATAACTTAAAACACCCATGATAGTCGCTACTTCAAATACATATCTCAATAATGTTTTAATATCGCTATCGCCAGTGTCATCATATTTATATGGACTATCCAAAGTATTTTCATAATAAAAATTGTTATCAGTAGGTCTTAAATATACAGCCATGGACAAACATATTAGGTGAATAAATAGTATCAGCAGACGCTTCAGAAATTGTTTCTAAAAAACAATTGAAAATATTTGTTTAGTATTAAGTAGAAACTTGAATATAAAAACATAACCGACCCTTGCAAATGTTTTCCATTTTTCTTCCAGAAGCTTTTGAATTATGCCTCCATCGAGCATATCCAAATGAGCTTCTTTTGTTCCATTTAATATAATGAATAGCGCCGAATTCCAATCTAAAAATAATATAGTCTCAATTAATCAGTTTGAAGTCCTTATATTTGTCTACAGATACTTTTTGCATTTTTATGTTATTAATGTTGTATAACAGGTATATATTTTTGTAATTATGTTACAAAAGAATTAGTTAATAATGATTAATTATTTGTTTACCTTGGAATTAAGTTAAATATATTTGAAGATTCATTCTGTTATAGTTTATAGTTTATTAGTTTGGTCCATTTATCGATTTTTATGAAAAGACTAGGAAACTCAGCGAATTCCGTTTCGCCACCAGATGGTTTCGTTTTATGTAATTACCAAACATTTCGTTTGGTGATTAAAAGATGAAGAAATTTTTTGTTTGTTTTATATTTGAATATGAAATTTTTTTTCATTTCACGACAGTAATGCATTTATTTCGATTACAAAAATGAAGTGTTATTTAGTTGAACTTCTCTAAGTAAATGAAAGTGAATCCAAAGTAAATACTGAATCGAAGCGTTATACGCGTCCGCAAATTATCCGTTTCATTGAACTGCTCTTTGGTAAACCACATTTTTTGTTTTTGGTCTGATGTTAACACAAACAAAGCGGATGGTTTCCCAACTCGGGAACACGCTACGTATAACAGCCCATGTGAAAAATAATGATTTTCTAAATTTATCCCGCAAACACTAAGCTATTGGCCTAGCGACTTATTAAATCAGTCAAAATTAAAAAAAAATGAGTTTATCAGTTATTTCATACCACTTTAGTTTAAACTAAATGTATTAAATGTAATTTTTACGAAATTGTCAAAAATGAACCATTAGATAGTGGTTGTAATTTCAACATTATATGGAATTCACTTAGTGTTAATTATGAAAGTGGTCTAAGTAAAAAATCTAAAGAAATTATATAAACATCTTGAAAAAGGCACGTGGCCTTCTTTGATGCGTTTCTGAACATTGATAAACAAGTATAAATAGATAGCAAACTGGACCGGTTTTCGATTATTTTAATAATTTCCATGACGATAATGTGAAGATGTCCGTATGGGATGATACTACAGCTTCAAGAGGTGCACAGGAAGTAGCATCATGCATTTTAGCGCATATGCAGGACATAACGACTCAAAAACACGTAATAGCTTACAGTGATGCTTGTTCAGGCCAAAATCGGAACATTAAAGTAGCATTGACATGGATGAAAATTGCTCAGTCATCAAATAATAATATTGAAACGGTAGACCACAAAATTTTTGGTATCAGGTCATTCCTTTCTACCGAATGATCGTGATTTTGGGTTTATCATAATAAATAAATTTCCATTAATTAAGACTAATAAAATTAAAAATTAAAATATCGCATAATGTAAAAATTTTTCTAAGTAAAAAGAAAAGTAAGTAATTGTTTTTTATACAAAAATTACAGGCCTTCATAACTATCTTAGGTAAAAAAACGATACCAAATCCCACCTGTATCAATTCAAGGTTCCACCGAGACTTGAACTGGGATCGCTGGATTCAGAGTCTAGAGTGCTAACCGTTACACCACAGAACCGACGGTTAGGAAAAGAAAGTAAGTAATTGTTTTCTATACAACATTTTACAGAACTTCATAACTA